CTCTCCAGACCGTTTTTAGAGGCTCTAAATTGCACAAGAGGTGATTCTCTCTAGAAGCAGCTTGTGTGTTTAAAACACCTGCCTTTGGGTGAGCAGCACAACTCTATCCACTAGGCCACCAGAGCTCCTATTAGGTCATGAGAGCTTCTTTTTTCTTCTGTCAGTGCCAATTTTCCCATCACCGTGAAAAGAATTCACTACTGCCCAGAGAAAAATTTCCCCTCTCCCATTTCTTTATACCCCTAGATGTCATTGAGATTTTACTTCATATAATTGAGATCATATAATATTTGATCTTTTATAATGGGTTTATTTTACTTAGCATAATGTCTTTGTGGTTCATCTGTATTGTACCTTGTATCAAGATGTTATCTTTTTATGTATTCTTTTATGTATGTACAAATTTTGTTTATCCATACATATTATTGATGGACACTTGAGTTGCTTCCACTTTTTTGCTCTTGTAAACAGTACTGAATGATGATCATCATTGTATTACTCTTAGTATTTATTTGTCGATTGCTCTATAATGGAAAGTATTTATTCCTTGCTTATAGAATGAAACTGTGAGAAGTGGAACTCTGCTGCCTTGTTTTTCTAGGTTGCATGTGTTTTCTGTCTTTGACAGGGTGCAATCTAACTACTTATCTTTCACTGGTTTTAATGGGAAAAATTTGAATTTTTCCTTCTCTGTTAAGTTTCCAGGTTCTGACTTTTCCATATTTTACTGTTGTGTTTTGGTGAGGTTTTTTTTCCTCTTCTTCTTCTTTCTATCTTCACATTTCTTGCTAAAACCTGTGGAGCACAGTTGAACAAAATTGGTGATAGCAAGTAATTTTACCTCATTTCCAGTTTTAGGCCTACAGCTTTCAACATTTCACTATGAGCAGCAGGTTTATTATATGTTGTTTGCAGAGACACTTTATTAAGATTCTGTTCCTCGGCCTCTAAGTCTCCCTCCACCAAATGTATATTTTATGCAAATAACTTGTAAGCTATGAGAATTTTTGCAAACCACACACCTCGTGAAACCCATTAATTTCCTGTGCATATTATATTACTTGTTTGGATACATTATTTGCAAAAAATGTAGTACTGGATAAAATTCAGAATATAGTTTTGCATGTATACAGATATTTTTTCCATTTTATCTTAATAGAATTGCTTTGGATTTTTTTTTTTTTTTTGACACCCAAATTTCTTTATTGAAAGAGCACCACCCTCACTGCATAGCCTGTTCATTGGCGCTGCTTTCCGAATCCTGCAGCTACATTATATTCAATGCAGAGGGCCTCAAATGTGTCATCTGCCTGGAAGGCCAGCCCCACTGTGACAGAGCCTGGGAGTCTAGAGGCCCAGCATCCTCCGGGAGCTGGTCGTCCTGTACAGACAGATGCTGCTCCTCAACTCCTTGGCGTTGGGGAAGACGGTGGTTTTGTGGCACTGAATCATCAGAAACATCCTGGAGGGCACCCCTGCCCCCACCCCGCGCAACCCGCTGTCCCTCCCCACCCACCAGCCGCGGCCTAGCCCGCCCCTCTCACACCGCATTTGATTTTTTGATTGTTAGCCTAACCTTTTTTCTCCTATTAAAAACTCAGGAAAAAAACCATAAACCCTCAGTTAAAAAAAAAATTAAATCCCCCAAAACTCACATAGTCATAGTATCTTTCTGATATATTATTGGATGTAAAGTACTAACATTTTGGTTAAGAATTTTACATATAAGTTCAGAAGTGAGATTGATCTGTGACTTTTTGTTATCATAATTTCCTTTTCAAGTTTTTGTATTAGGATTTTTCTGGCATCATAAGTTTAATTGGACTATGTTCTGTTTTCTATGTTCTCTGGAAGGATTTGTATATGATTATTGGAGGTTTTTTGTTTGCCTTCTCTTTTTTCTTTCTTAAATGAGTTAATCATTTTAGTGAGGCTGTTGTTGTTGTTGTTATGTGCCGTCGAGTCGCTTGCAACTCATAGCGACCCTATGTACAACAGCCCTAAACTCTGCTCTGTCCTGTGCCAATCACACTGTCTCTGACACTCCCAT